TATTCCTGTTTCCCACCTCTCTTTTCCTTATTACAGAACTTGCCCCAGACCGATTATACTTAGCCAAATATACTGATGTTCCAGTTATAAGAATTCCAATCCCACTGTGGATGTTTGGGTGCAGGCCACATCTTAAATACAAATGAATGCAGAATGTCACAGTGGAATAAAAATCACTTGCAGGTCTTTCACTGCAAACAAAGTAGGGTTATGCTGGAACACAGACTGCTAACTGAAACCACTTCAGCTGGTGGTCTTGCCCAGTATCTTGCCTGTAGTAATGGCTGTAAGGTGTACATGTTCCAGAGTAGAGATCTGAGAATGTTGCTACTAGTCATGCAGCTGTAACAGAAGAAAATCATACCAATCAGTGTTTGGATCGCTGCTGAATGGGGCGGGGGGCCTTGGATAACAAAGGATATAGAGAAGGCAGAATTATTGAATGCCGCCTTTGCTTCAGGCTTCACTGCTAAGGCCAGCCCTCAGGGATTCCAGACCCTGGGGACAAGAGAGGAAGGCTGGAGAAAGGAAGACTCTCCCTTGGTCGAGGAGGGTCGGGTTAGAGATCTGTTGTCCAAACTTGACATCCATAAATCCATGGGCCCCGATGGGATGCGTCCACGAGTGCTGAGGGAGCTGGCGGATGTTATCGCTAGGCCGCTCTCCATCATCTTGGAAAGGTCCTGGAGATCAGGAGAGGTGCCTGAGGACTGGAAGAAAGCCAACGTGATATATAGCACATAACAACATATGTATACGTGGTACGAGGACATCATATTTGCTATACGTTACATTGACTTAAAGTTCAAAACACAAGCGGTCATTGAAGTTTAATCCATTTCAGTTCAATTTTAATCTAAAAGCATTGCCAGATGGATTGTGAGTGGCGTAGATTGATTTGACTCGTACACAGAAGAGCTTTTCACGTTCACGGGAAATATCCTTTGGGTTGGTGGCGGTGTCCCTGTCTCACACCATGAGAACTGGGCTGCCGCACTCTCTCTGTCAGAAGTTCTCCAGATTTCAAGGCAGAGGTTCCCAAATTTGTTTTATTTGGATAGTGTTAATCGTAGCTCCAAAGGGTCACCAAGCAAAAGTTCCCAGTTTTTGGTAAGGTAGAAGCAGCATGATCTGGACTGATCGTAGCCCTTTCAAACATTACTATATGTCTGCTAAAATATTGTCCTGTTTTATTACCTAAGGGAACCACGTTTTCCCTGAAAATTAGATCATGTTTAAGATGATGCCTTACATAAAACTGAGTTAGATAGCAGTGGCATACGTTATTTTGACAGTTACTGCTCCATCATAAACTTAAATATTGTAGATATAAATATTCGTTGTTGTGGTGTAAACGTGAAATATTCACTCTTTATGCTAATGTCAGCTTGCAGCTATAATTACTGTACGTTTGGGATAATTTTCACCCTAATTTGTTTGGGCCGTAGACAGACCATTCATGTCGTTCAGTGGGGTTAGCGTTCACAGGGGAGACAGGAGAACTAAATACGCGTTCCTGATTCAAGGAATGTGTAATAATTGTGCGACACGAACACTCGTGGTTGGGAGATAAGCAGGTGTGTAATAAATATATGTGGGTTCGTGAAGACCTCTCGGTGCGATCTCCCCTGAGGAGTGAATAGCTTCAGTGAAGCGTGGGGCAGCAAGGAGTCGCATCAGTTACAAAGTCATGAAACCCTGCTGTCGAATTTGGATTCTGAGTTGCTGATGGGAGCTCCGAGACCCCAAAGTTGCACCGGCCTCAAGTTTTCTTTGGCGGTCCTGATGGATTTCAGCTTGGGCGTTTTTGGGGAGAGGAAATCACAGCAGGTGACATCAGGCATCCCAGATGGGTAAGGCGTTCCCAGATTGGATAGCCATGCAGTTGTTTCACTTGTGTGTTGAGTATGTGTGTTTGGAGCTAGATATTGCGTGTAGAGGTTGTGAACGGTGTTGAAATTGTCGCTTTTTGTCTCCCAAGTTTTTTTCTTGCTGTTTCTGGTTGAAAAATGCAGTAAATATTGATAAAGATCAGAAGCATATCCTGAGCCAGAATTTTCTAAGGAGTTACCTTTTTGTCTGGATTTCACAGTTGTTTCCTCTGGTTTAACTGTAGAGGATGATGGAGCGTCTGTTTTATGGCTAGAACTATAGGTTTGCCCGTGGAACAGCTGTTTCAGAAAGAGGAGCTAGGTAGGTTTAAGCTGAAAAAGCTTTATTAAAGTAGCTTTTTTCGAAACCTGAACTCCCGTAACCCCATAACTTGAGAATAAAGAAAAAACATAGACTGACATAAAAAACATATTTTCTGGGGACCATGATTTATGAAAGATATCCTGCAAGTGCTGATCCTGCAAGTAGTTGTTTGCCGTAATCAGATTTAAAAGCCCTACCTCTCCCATCAGCTGATGATTGTTGTATAACCTTTGGCCTCACGGTTCTGGTAGGAATGTGGAACGTATTTCTGCAAAGAATGACACTCTTAACAGTCTTACCCCATAACAGCAGCACTTGTTTTGTTTAACAGTGCTGGAAATTAGTTTCTCACGCACCGATCTTGACAGGTCAGCTGTCACAAATTGGTATACGTATCTGTAAATGCATCAGTCCTATACACCAAATTCTGCCTGCAAGAAGTGGAAGTCAGGATTGGCATGCTTCTGAACAAATGAAATGTCCTGAAGCACAGAGATTCAAAGGAAACATCCCTTTTGGAAAAGGCTCTCCGCGTGTTCCATTTGCCCACTTTACCTGCATCATTTGCATTTTAGAGACTGAAAAAATTAATGTCTCCATACAGAACGCTGTGGAAGTCGGTGCTGAAGTCAAATACGCTCCCTCCTTCTCCTCCTTGCACCTAGCCCTCCTGCATAAAAAGGGAGTCTTTGTTTTTCTCTTTTTGAACAAAATTTTCAGCTCCTTTAAGGGATTGCCATTGTTGACCTGAAATGCAAAATGTAAGTTATTCAAAAGTTTAATGTCTTGATACAAAATGAGATAGAGTTGTTGAAGGGAAAAGGAGCGGGATGAGAAAGGGAAATGTCAGTCCAGAGGTGACAAAGGAATAAACGGATGTGTTTCATTTCCTGTTTTTGAATAAAGATTTAATCATCTTCTGTAGCTAGTGTAAGCCATTCTGGCCAAAACTGTGCACGTATCTTTATCATACACTTGACTGCATTTTCAACTGGAAGAGCTGAAAGAAGCTTAGACAGTTCTTCACCGCTTCCAGACACAATATATACCACGCACGCCTATACAGTCTTTGAAGTCTGTTGAATCACGTTGATTTACGTCGTCTGAAGAGTTGGTCAGTTTTTTTTTTTTTTTTAAGCAACAGCAAAACCTGAGAAAAACTTGGACCTGTTCAGACCAGGCATCTGAGTTTGAATTTAAAAAAATAACCCCTGGTTGTACGTACCTACCTGATACTGCTGCAAACACGTTTATGTACAGAAGGTTGTTTGCCACTCCAAATTCGTCTCACAGGGTGAGAGTTTTCAGTCTTTATATCTGGATATACTTCTGCTTTTAGGAGTGTCATTAGAAAGCTTAATACTACTCTGTCATTCACCGCTTCTGTCTTCCAGGTCAGCTGGATAAAGGCCGATGTAGCTTAATTGTCTCCTTACCTGCATCTCAGCTTTGAAGGTTTTCAGTGACTGTAGAATGATTTTCATCGGTTTTATCTCTGTGATAGTTGTCGTGTCTGAATGTTCAATGATTTTTCCTGTTCTAATTCCCTGTTTATTGGTTTAGTGCAACAAAACAAAAATAAAACTACGCAGATCTTTCCCATCACGTTTTAGTTGTTGTTTTGACTTTTGAGGCTTTAGGAGAAAACCGAAGTCATCGAAGTAAATTATGTAGGACATTTAGCCATAGGCATTTTCAGTGAAATAAGTTCTTTCCAAGAAGGTTTTGGCTCGTTACGTAGAAATTAGCTTCTGGCAGGAAGAAGCCACGTTTCACAGATCTTGGACTATGTTTGATTTCTCAGGGGCATGCCTTCAGCTAACAGCGCTGCCTCCACAGATGTGAGCGTAGTATTGGTGTTTTAAGAGTAGAGCTGGAAAAAAAGAAGAAACAGTTTTTACTCCTTGCTATTTATGTCTCTTCAGAAAAAATGACCCCATGGATTCTGTTTGAAGGCAAAAGCAGTGTCCGACTGCTGCTGCTGAAGAGCATGTCTAGTTTGAATAATCCAGAGATCACTTGAAATTGACTTTTTGGTTGAACTTCCTTTAAGAAGATGTAGTAAAATTGATTTGGAAGTGCTACGTTTAGTTGACAAACAAAATCTTTATGCATAATGTTTCATGGAGGTATTATGAAAATACATACCAGGCTGCGACTAGCAGATGTGTATAGCACTGCCAGAGGTGCTATGAGATATTTGATCATCAGGAGCCTTGAAACGCGAGAGGAAGGGCTGTTGTCGTTTTACTGATGAGGTAGAAGTAGGCCAAGCAGAGAGAAAATAGGGCTTAAGATCGGATCTGAAGAAAGTCCAAGATAGAAGAGGAGACGGTTTGGCACCACAGGATCTGTGTCAAGGGTTTATAACTATCAGGAGCGAGAACGTTGTGCAACGGGAGAAAAGGTTGGTCTTTGATAAGCAGTAAGGAATGATGTGAAAAGTAGAAGGGGCTCAGACAGGGTAATATGGGGTAGTGAGACCGCGGATAATCCTGAGGACTGTCAGGCGGTATTAAACTTACCAGAGAGAAAAGTCATATCCAAGTGATCTACGTGAAATAATATGACAAATACTACAGATAAGAGAGCAGATATGTGACGGGCACTGACGAAAATTCATTCAGGCAAAGTGCTTGTTTATGTCTTTCCCCTGAATCTCTCTGATTCTGTGTTTAAAAAAGCACTTCTCATCCTCTCTGTGTAAATACTGGATTCAGTCAAGCTACTGTTAAAATGTTTATGTAAATATTGAAGGATTTCTGCCTAACAGTCCTTCAGACGCACTGCGCTTTCTGTTCTAGTTGGCAACGTGGGACTCTGAAAAAGGACTGAACGGCAGCCTACAAGAACGACGCCTGGGCAGCGACTTACAAGGATTGACGCTGAAAGTGGTGACTGTCTTGGTATGATCCTGTTTGAGTTCAGGAAACAAAATGCTCAAAATAAAAAAGGATGTGACTGAATGGTTGGGCACTTTCCTCAGTATTTTTCCCTGTCATTTTCAATTCTGTATTTCTGGGTGATCAGTTACATAAGCAAGGAAGATAGATAATAGCCTTTTATTAGTTTATGTGGCTCTGTGGACAGTCAGAGATGTAGAGCCCGTGTGCATTTGTTTCTGCTTTTCTCCTTCATCAAAATTCATACTGAGCATCAAACCAGCACAGGGCACACGAGTGGGACAAATTTCAGATACAGCACTCTCAGATACGCACTTTCCAGTGTTTCATGGATTTTAAGATCAGATGGGCCAATTATGATAATCTAATCTTGGCTCTTGTATACTGCAGGCTGTAAAATGTAATTCAGTGTTTCCTCCATCAAGCTCATGATTTCCAGTTAAGATAAACTATGTCTTCTAGAAAGACACAGTCTTTCCCAAAAAATGGTTATACTGTTGGGACTGCTGTCTGTTGCTCTCCTAGGTGGTAACAGAGTTCCTGTCAGCTAAATGATAAAGTGGGAATAAATTAAGGTTTGACTGCATTTCTGCCTGAACTGTAGTAGAGTTTGCAGATTACAGGCTGTAGGGTCTGTCTTTGGTGGTTTTTTCTCCCTCTTTTACTGGATGCAAGTTCAAATAGGAAGTACTGTATGAGCTCGTTAAGGGCCTGCTCTGCTCTTCCTCAGGTTTTCTTCCTTCAGTCTGGTAACAGGTGAGGTTATGCCCTAGCTTATATGGGAGGTGAGCAGAGCCATTCTAAGAGAATGACGGTACCACGTTGCGAATGTGGCCAATTACAGTGGCTGTGAAAGTAGCAGCCCTGGCATTCCCTGGCAGGATAGTAGGAATCCCCTGTTTAGACAGAAAGCCTGCCCTAAAATGCTGTATTTCCTTGCTCCCAAAATGTACCTTTAGAAAACACTCCAAGAACCAGTGCCCCTAAGGACTGTTCTTTCAATTTCAAAATGAAATAATCGCAAAGTGCCACATTGTTGGCTCTTATTTCGGTATGTATCCTGGATAAAAGATCAGTCGTTATCCGTAAAAGATGACTTTCTGAACCTCTCATGTTCTGAGATGCACGGTAGTGCTGTTCCTATCTACGACTCACTTGCCTAACTTGCATATCTGTATTCTAGAGAGTTAGGATGCTAAGGTAGGTGCCCGTGCCCTCTTTATCGTCCATGAGAAGAGGCAGATGTTTCCAGAGGACAGTTCCGCCTGCAGACAGTGGGCAGCTGCCGTGGAGGAATTAATTGTCCTCTGGAGGGTCTGCCTCTTCTCATGAACTGTGGAGCTGAACTTGAGCTGCTGAAGCTGCTGAAGTCTGGTGGCGTTTGGAATGCCGTGTGATATCCGGCCTGGCCCACAGGTGTTGCTTCAGGAGCGTTGCAGCTTTCTCCGAAGTCTGCCCTAAGCTGTCCAGAGTTAGCTCAAGAAACATCACTTTTACTAGGCAAACACACTGACACATGTGCTTCAGGTGTCAGCTTCAATATTGTTTTGTTCTCAGGAAGAACCTTTTGTAATGGTGGCGGAGAACATACTTGGGCAACCGAAACGATATAAAGGATTTTCCATTGACGTCCTGGATGCACTTGCCAAAAATCTGGGCTTCAAGTATGAGATATATCAAGCGCCTGATGGGAAGTACGGGCAGCAGCTCCAAAACAGCTCCTGGAACGGCATGATTGGCGAACTCATTAACAAGGTACACAGAGGAGAAGCTGCATTAAAAAAAGGCTCTTGAAACAGAGCAGGGCATCAAAGGTTTTAAGGGGGCTGTTGAAATTCTCCCTCCCTTCCAAATTCCAAGAGATGGAATTAAAGATCAGCGCTTCAGTTCAAAACACTTCTGAGCTACGGGTGGTTTGAGTGTGGTCTAAACTATGCACTTTAAGACCCTGTATATGGGATGAGGGCTACAGAGTCTGTTGTTCTGTCTGTTTACTCCTGGTTGTTATCAGCATACATTACGAGTGCAAGTCTGTATGTGTATATATAGCGGCAAGTATAAGAACGGAGGGCACGTGTGTGTCTTTGAGTGAATGAGTGCAGAATGCAGAGAAAGAAATACGTATTCTTCCAATTTTCCTTGCTATTGTTATTTTTTGCCTTTTTATGTCTTTGCCACTTTGTAGGTATGACTGTCTTTGGGTCACCTTCTTTGTGGCAAGTGTGTTTTATAAGGAGCAGCTGTTTGACTCCAAAACAGGAAATGTGTTCCTAGTAATACGCTCTACGGAAGTGTTTTGAAGGACCACAATTCAAATTGCTTTCAGGAGTGTTTATTCATTTGAAACAGAGAGGAACAGATTTCTTCACTTAATTACAGTCTTACAAATCAGGAGTGAGTGAACTGAACGCCACTGAAGTAAATGGGAGAGTCCATAGCTTAGAATCCCCAGCAGAGTGAAACTGGAATGTGTTTTGTTTATGTTCTCAGTATCTGACATGGGACAAATCTTAATCAAAGAAGGACAATCAAAGGAATTAATATTTCATGGTGTGGCCCTTTGTAGAAAAGGCTACTCTTCTGCAGTGGAGTTACTACTGAAAGTAAAAGCTTTCTCATTACCTAGTAGGGAGGCGTTTCAGTATCTGGTGAGTAGATGCTTAGGAAGAAATGAAAGCAATTAAAGCAATAGCAAACGTTGCATGTGGTAATGCATAGGGACGTTGTCAGTTGCTGCTAGGAAGCATAAAGGGTATTGTATTTATTTTACATTGACATAAGCTTTTTGAATTTCATTGTTTTGAAAATCTGGTAAGAAATCCTGTGAAATTTCTTTGGAAGTTGCTTTCTTGGAAGTAACGAAGTATTTATAATGGTATTTTTGCTACTAGTCCTTCCACTGATTCCAAAGGATTTCAAAGCAGACCTCATTCACCTAACACTGGTCCTACTTCCCCAACAGAAGGTAGAGATACGAAACAAAAATACATTTTTAAGAGAACTGTTTTTATTAAGATAGAAAAACATTCAAAATTGAATTGCAGCTCTCCAAAAGATTTGGGAATCTTATATTGTAAACGTGATTTTATCTTTCACTAAGTTTGCATTTTCTTAAAGGATCTTCTCAGTGTAAAACCTGCTTACTTTAAATGTGGAGGTCAAAGCAGTTTGCAGAGCTGAGTTGCCTTCGGTGCGTTGTTCCAGTTACCAGTTTTTGCAAGCAGGTTATTCGTTACAAAAAAACAAATAAAATCTTCTCCCCGTTGACACACGAAATCCTTTCATGGATATGGGAAGTCGGCAACCTCCCAGGTAGAGCTGCAAACGCCAGCTGTACGCAAGTTGCTACTGAGTAGACAAGCTAAATGAAGTTTGCGTGGAAAAGGAATGCGGCTATTTTTTAAAGTAATCTTGGAATAATAACAGAGTGAAGGAAGCGTTGATACAACTATAATAAATACAGATGGTGTTTCTTTCTTATTCCTTGCACTACACCAGTAAATGTGGGTTGGAGTTTCAGGCACTCTTTCGAAAACAAGTGAGGCCTGAAGATTAGATAAACTGTAGGCAGTCTGGTCTGGAGTCAGTGTGACTCTTTTTGTTGTACAGTACTTCCACAAGTTACATTCCACTGTTCTGCTTAGAACTGGCGCAATAGTTAATGTCTGAATGATGAAACCGATTCTGCTTTAATTTTAGTTTGTCTAAACATGTTAGACTAGAGAAAGAAATGTGTGGAACCCCTTGCTTAACAAAAAAAAAAAAAAAAAAAAAATTCCTTAAGGCTCACACTGGCAGAATCATCGTGAAAGGAAGAAATCTGACCTGTTGCATTTCTCTCGCAGAGAGCCGACCTAGCAATCTCAGCCATCACAATAACACCCGAACGAGAGAGCGTTGTGGACTTCAGCAAGCGTTACATGGATTATTCTGTGGGGATCTTAATCAAAAAGCCCGAAGAAAAAATCAACATCTTCTCTCTCTTTGCTCCTTTTGACTTTGCGGTGTGGGCTTGCATTGCTGCAGCCATCCCTATAGTTGGTGTCTTGATATTTGTCTTGAACCGGATCCAGGCCGTCAGGGCTCAAAACTCTTCCCAGCCAGGCCCTTCAGCTTCCTCCACTCTTCACAGTGCCATTTGGGTGGTGTATGGCGCCTTTGTTCAGCAAGGTACCTGGTCTGTTTTAAATATCACGTTCAGAATTTGTCTGTCTTGGATAAAGCTGTTTAGGACATGCTAGGCTTGGCGAGAATGCTCACGAGATGAAAGAGAAATGAGGCTCCTACAGGGAAGGTAGTATGTTTTATTAGCTTAGCTGGTGAAAAGTGGTAAGAAGTAGGTAAGTTCTGAAAGGTTACGTTCTATTTTTCTGTCTCTGTCAGCAAGTCTAGTAAAATAACACTGCTTCCTATAAACATTTCTACCTTGTGGAAAAGGTCACCTGATTAAGTTAAGCTACAGAGCGGTTTGGAACAGCACCCTCTAACTCAAAAACTAGCACCTTTTCCAATAATTTAAGTTTAATTTTAGGAAAGTACATGGTTTTGAATTAATATGAGACATTTTATCCCAAATAGGAAAGTCATTCATAGCCATGTAACTAACTGTACGCTCAGGTGTCTGTAGACATAGGACTAATCCTATTGAAATTCGTGTGTGATGACACAACCGTTGACACAGTTACTTTTCTGCATAATGTTTTGCAAAGTCTGCCCCTATATTTTTCACTCCATAGCTGTAATAGTATTCTTCAAAGGCAGTTTTGTTGACCGCTAACACAAGGGGCATTTGTTAACTTTTTTCCACCTTTTTTATTTATTGCACGTTGTGGTTTGGAAGCTTCTGAAGCTTCGTCTGGAAACTCCAAATTGCAATACTACTGCTAAAAAAACTTGATCCTTCCTCACATTGCGATGGCGTTCCTGGACGGGTTTAAATAAAATCAAGTAAATCAGAATTACTGTAAACTTACTCTGAAGTAACTAGCACCAGCTGTAAAGTTTGGTCTCTAACAAAGTCCAAGCTTAACTGTGTTTGAAGCTTGCTCAAAAGAGGAATCTCAATGTTGTTTGAAAGGTAGGACAGAGTAACAAATAATGGCACTAATGCTGCAGCATTTGTATGTGTAAATACAGCACAGACAACACACAAGCCGCTGAACAGTTTTGAGTGTTATTCAACGTTTGAAATATCCATTGAAACTGGAACATTAACTGAATTCTGAACACTGCAATGATTTTGACTCCTGCACAGTAGTACTGCTTTGCCATTAAACTCTCTTTGTTTAGAATATTATTCACATTCTGAAAAATTGGTCCTGAGTAACGATTTAGAGGCATTCTTTTGAAAGTTGTTTTTCTAGAACAGTATGCAGGGCAAGAGGTTGATTGGAGAAAATTTTCTGTGAAATAGCAGTCTTAATAGAAGTAGTGCTTTGCTCACAGTGACGAGGTAGTCTCTTCCTGACGGCTGAAAGGGAAACGGAAAGGCAGAGGGGTTATTCCAACAAAGCTTAACAACACAGCAGGGCACGCAAGGGGTGGTCGAAAAGGGACATTCCTGAGACCTGTGTTTCCTCTGTTTATTTGCAGGGAGTGAATCTACTGTCAATTCTGTGGCTATGCGCATTGTAATGGGCAGTTGGTGGCTCTTCACCCTTATCGTGTGCTCATCCTACACAGCTAACTTAGCAGCTTTTCTCACAGTATCGAGGATGGATAATCCTATAAGGTAAGAGTCTCTTCTTAACATGAAGCTGGAAAGCTGGATTTCACAGAAATGTATTATCCATTTGAACGCGCATTCTTGTGAGGAGGAGATAACTCTCTAATAAAATACTCTGCTTATTTTCAGGGGCTGCTTTTCTATTCTCCCCCCACTTCCTTTCACTCTTAAAACCCCCAACCAGTTTTGACAGGTGAATGGAGGGGGCAACGACACTTTTAATTGTGCCTTTTTCAAGAAGAGATGTCTCTCTCTCTCATGTTTATCTGTATGTTGCTTAACTAGAGCTCTCCCTGCTTCGGCTACACGCGTTCTTTGTTGAACATTGGTAGGAGCTGCTACCTCTAGGGAAATGTATAACGTTTCACTTCTCACCTTCAATGTGCAATTTTATGTTCTCAATATTTTGATCTGCATTGTTGTTTATACTATTATTTGCATGTAAGATAATGCAGGCAGTCTTTTAAAATACAAGTGGCCAGATTCAGTGGGATTATTTGCAGCAAAAGGTTCTGCTCAAAGAGGAAAAGATAACCCAATTTGACTCCAGGATAATAGATGTAATATAGCAGTTGTTTTATTAAATTTATGTATAACTCTCTACGGTTGTGCTGGCAATATCATGGTGATAAATTACAGCTCCTGTAACAAACCCAATTTATCTCGGACCTTTGACTTCTTTCACCTGCTGTCTGCTTGCTAATCTATGTCCCATGAGAATATTTTCAATAAGCCTCGCTTCTGAGCAGCTCCAGAGAGCTGCTGTTTGTTTGGTGTTCACATTATTTCCAGCTTAACTTGTCATTGCGTACTTGCAGTAATGCTTTGATGTACATACGTTGCATAAAGCTTTGAATGGTATAATAATATATAATATGGTATAGTAATATGGTATAATAATAATAATAGTAGTGAAAAATGCATTTTTAAATCAATGATCTGTTAGTTTGGCCAGGTTTTGACGGTAGGAGAAGTACAAACTCCAAGTAATTTCTGGAAATAAGATAAGAAACTCAACAGACTAAAACTACCGCAGAACATCTGAGAGTTCTGGCTGTGAAGCCTCGTGCCGTATTATCAGAATAAGATTAAGCTCAATGAATACATTGATGTTGAAATCTGAGTCAGAAATGGTTCTCTGGAAAGCCTGACCAAATGACCTTCTCGACCAGTTCTGAAAGTTCTTGTTCTTTCGTGGTAGAAAAAATTGACTGTTTGGTCTACCAAGCACCTTCCAGAACTCGGTGAAGTTCAGAGGTGGACAAAAGTGGAATGAAGTGCAGTGAAGAATCTCCAAAAAAAGAGACAGATTCAAGAACCGAACTCTGGGTTATTAGATGAGGCCTTTAAAGCTGAGATAATAAAGCATGTGCAAGGGGTTTTCATTACCGTTCTTTCTAAATTGAAAGTACTTGACTAAGAATCTTGTGAGGGGAAAGAAATCTCAAGCCACTCACTTGGGAAATGGAGCTGTGGGACGTTGTCCGGTGACTTCAGAACACAGTCTGCCCTCTAATTTTAGAGATGGCGCTTGATGAATTTTAACTGTAGGCCTTTCTATAGCTGACGGCAGTGCCAGTTTCCAGGTTCCAAGTGTTACATTCCCCTTGTACAAGGTAAGAATACAGAGGGCAGAAAGCACTCTAAAGTGATCGGCAAACACCAGTAAGGTAGTTCAGGTGCCAAAACAGAAATGTCTCATGTCATGTAAATTGCCATGAGGTACGCTGTCTGGAGCCTGGCTGCTTGGCCAAATGGGCAGGGGTGTCTCAGAGGTTCCGTCAGCCACAGTGGGGTTGATTCGTGTTGTCGTGGGTGTCTGAAGCGGTCTTGGATGCTTCGGCAGCCAAATCATTCCTCCGGTAATTTGCAGGGGCAACTGTCAGAAAACTCTTGTTTCAACAGCCGGTTGGTATGACTGAGCTAGTTAAGGGATTGGCTGGTCTTGGCTTGTTTATGGCTGTTTTACAAAGTCAGCAGAATCTCCCTTAGATCCTCCTCCTCTAAGAGATGCTTCCGTTCTGAACCCTCCCATCCAAAGCTGCCAGGTGCTCAGGAAGGACCAGGAGCTGGCGGGAAAGAGGTTATCCCAATCCTTTATTGAGCCGCCTTCCATTTCTAAGCTGTGGTGAAGATGTTTTCATATTCCCACTCTTGAGGAGAAACTTCTTCTAAACTATCATAGCGTCGCGTTTGCAGCAAGTATTTTTCCGAGACAGTAAATTCTCGTCTTGCGTGAAAGCGTCACGCCCTGGTCTCTCAGCTTCCAGTCCTGTTTGGTTTCAGTGTGGTATGATAAGGAGTGACGATTTTTGCCTTTCCAAATTTGCCACTGAGCTTGCCTACATTATTATCTTTCGTGGACCCAGGAGAAACACTTACTTGAAATCGATGTTCCCACCCAAAGAGGCACAATGAGTTATAGCTGAAAATTTGCTCACCATCTGAGAACTACCAAATCCATCTGTGTACGCTTCCATTGTTAAGAAACCAACCTTTGTCCTTTCAGTAAATGTGTGCCGTTATCTCTCCCTCCCTTGAAAAGTCCTCTGGTGGTCAGTATTGATGCCGCTGAACTGCCAGCAGGGGAGAAACTAGTATTACGGTGCTGCAGTAGCTGCAACATAGTTAAGGCTTTCCTTACATGCCTGATTTTCTTCCCAAGCTCCCTCTAAAACGCCTAATAAAAGTTGTTTCAGCTTCAAATTTGGCATGTGTGGTCTGAGACTAGCAGAACAGAAGTATGGTGATTGAATAATGAGGGGTCAGTCAACCTGGTAATACTTACCTCCACAATTTGACTGCAAAACCAGTGTGCCGTAGAAATCGTAAGTGATATTTATTAGAAGGTGCTTGGTGAGACATTCGCTGAGGCAAAGTTGAGCTGTTGGAAGGCAGATGTTTAAAATCAGCAAGTCAGATAGATGAAAGGCTGCTGGTAAAGGAACAATTTTTTTGGAATTCTGGTGTTGGCGATTCCTACAAGATTTTTCCATCCCGCTGTGAGTTGCAGGGTCTGCCTGTGGTTCACACAACGGTGAAATAGAGTAGGAAGCACGGCAGAGAGCACCTTGGATAAGCTTACTGTCTTTCTAAATTTCCTGAAAGAAACTTCCTAAATCCCCAAAGGGTTCGGCAGTGCTGTGCTGTGAAGGTGCCTGGATGCCTTGTAAGAAATGTGCCTCTCTCAGAAAGAACAAGGTTTTCCTTAGACTTTCCAACCCTTCCTTTCCTCCTACTCAGGGATTTTCTGCTGGGGCAGTGCACTGGGGAACCTCAGCGTGCAGAATCCAAGACATGCTAAAACCTGCGGCTTAAAGAGATCAAGGATAGCAGCAAAGCAGTGTGAGCCTGTCCAGGCTATCCTCCGTTTTCCTGGCGCTAGTGAGTGGTACTTCTGCACCCCTTTGCTCTTTTTGTACTGCTTCTCTGAGGCCTCTGTCCAAATTCCTGCTCTTCTAAATTTTTGTCTCTGCTTTGTGTGCACGTTCCCCGCCTCACAACGGGAGGCAGGGGGAGAGGAAGGAAGGAAAGCCGATAAAGTGATGGCCCATTCAGGACTCTCTAAAGATTTCTGCTTTCAGGGAGATTCACAAAAAGGGCAGTGCTCCCTTAAGCAGATTTCCAGGCTGGGCATGGAGAGAGGAGCAAGATGTTGCAGAAGTGGCAGGACGTAACTTCTAACCTTGTAAATGAACAATTCTCAATTTTTGTTTTCAAATAAAAATCGGGCAAATGTTTAGAGCCTGTGACAGTCCTTTACAAACTTGTTTAAACCCAAATGATTTGCATTTAGTATTCCATCCTTTGCCTTCAGAACTGTATGCAAAGGAGAAGTCTTCTAATGGGACAGTCTGCCAAATGAGGGCGGAATTATTACATGGGAGTTTGTCCTTCCTTTTCTCTGTCGCATTTTCAAACAGCCTTGGGATCTGCTGTCTGACCTTCCGTTTGTAATGAGGAGTGTAATTAGCAGTGACTTAACTTCCGTCTTCATTTCTTGTTAACAAGCAGACTACATGCAGTTGAGTAGCTACAGAGATATTCTGAAGCTCAAGGTTAGGAGAGCGTGTCTGATAAGAAGCAGGAAAAAAAACCCAGGACATTAGAAAAGTAGACTGTTTGCAAATTCAGGTGACTTTTAAGTTTTCATCAAATCGATCCTTAACTTTCGCAAATGCTACGGGTGTTTTAAGGGCCTCTGTATACAGGCGCTCTGTAAACACATCAGTACTCATGGCTCGCGTAGGAAAGTGTGTTATATCTACTTTTATGTTCTCATCTGTTGTTTCATGATTTGGAATTGCTTTATTTGCATTTTAATCCCCAAATTTTCTGTGGTTCTGGTGACAGCTGAAGGCTTTACTGCAGCTTAGTCAGGGTGGTAGTCCGGCACTTGGGAGGCTTGGGTCCGAATTCTTTTTCTACTGCAGGCTTTATTTGATCTTGGCAAGCTTAGTCTCCTGTCTGTCTCCGTTCCCTCTCTGTATAACAGAGTAACAATTTTTTCTCTCTTGTATGGCATATTGTCAGCTTAGCTGTTGTAAAGATGATGGCCAGAAACCACCATATTACGATAGATCTGCAGGTGTCGGTTTTCTGAGTTGCATACCAAACAGAAACAATCTAATACTATTTTAAGAGAAAATGAGGCAAGTATTTTGAAGATGCCAGCGAGAGGGAGATGAACAAAGGTTTCATCTGCTATAGTTAAGTGGATTTGATAAGCTTGGTAGCAAGAAACTCACAGGAGTTTCTCTGTATTTGCAGTGATTTTTGCCTTGAAATTTGTTGCGTTTGAAAGAAGCCTTTCTCTTGTTAATACCACACGTGGCTTTCTAAATATTTAATTTGATTTTTTTATTGTTCATTTTGTTATGTTTAATTTGCACAATGTTCTGTAGTCTTTGTGCAGCACCTCGGGCACTTTGGCAGGCGGCATGTATGAGGGAGCATGATAAAAAATAATTATCATGATTATTATTGAAGGCCTGTGAGCAAAAACT